ATATATATATATACACATTTTGTATAGAGGTGCATCTTTATATATATACACACACAAACATATATATATATATATAATACGTGTATATGCGAGAACTCATGTCTGACTATTGAGGATTACAGCTCCCCCATCTGACACCCGCAGAGTCCCTGCCCAGGCAGCCCAGGTGCCCTTGCCGCACGAGGTCGGTTGCGATCTCCTTCGTAGTCCCCATACAAGCGGGTGGCTGTCAAAACTACTGCTCACGATCTCAATCCTGCATTACCTTCAGGACCCTAACTAGGTTCCCCAGTAGTACACGTTTTTCCTTTTTTCTTTTTGGGTTCCTTCATTAAAACCGAATGGTGGAAAAAGGGTACCCTTATTATTAAGGAGCTACTGGGGAACCTAGCAAAACTATGGGAATTATGGTATATTCCTCATTATAGGTAATGCAGGATTTGTATCATCAATGCCCCTCAATCCTAAACCCTTATAGTAGCCCTTATAGAACCCTTGAAGGAACCTTTAAAAGGAACCCTTATCATGGATAGTGCAGGCCTTGTATCATCAACCGTAGGGCCCCCTGTTCATGGGTGCCCAAACTAAAGGGTGCCGTATTACGAGTAGACTTAGATCGGCATCCCCAGAAAGATCCGGGTTTTTGACGGTGACCCAAGAATACTCGTAAGTTGCGCTTAAACTCTAAAGGCCCCTAAACCCTAACCAAATCCTAAACCCCAAACCCTAAACCCCAAACCCAAAGCCCTAAGCCAGAAGCCCTAAACCCCAAACCCGAAACCCTAAACTCCAAGCCCAAAGCCGTAAACCCCAAACGCCAAACCCGAGGCCCAAAGCCCTAAACGCCAAACCCTAAACCCTTTGGGTTTGGGGTTTGGGGTTTAGGGTTTAGAGTGACCTTCTTTGGGCTTACCTGAGGGGTTGAGCAGGCAACCTTTAACCTTTTGGGGGATTATAAGAACCCTACTATAACTTAAAAGGTTGACCTTTTTTGAGCTAGGGGACTCAGCTCCTAAGCTACAAGGAGCCTTCAATTTCTGAAGGCCGCTCCACGATCTAGCTCGAAACATGAACTACGAGGCTTTTAAACCCTAAGCCCTTAACCCTAAACCCTAAACCCCTAAACCCCTAAACCCCTAAACCCCTAAACCCCTAAACCCCTAAACCCTAAGCCCTCAACCTTTATTTATAGAGCCCCTGAAGATTTGTCAAGGGAGCCATGTCAGGGGTCTTGGAATAGCAAGCCAACCTTCTTTGGGCGGGTCATGGGTTGAAGGTCTGAGGTGTGCCGAAACGGTACAGAGCTTACTGTAGCCTTAGGGTTTTTAGGGTTTAGGGTTTAGGGTTTAGGGTTTAGGGTTTAGGGTTTAGCCTTAATAATTACCCATAGCAGTTTTTTTGGGGGTGAGGGGGGGAGGGGGGCGGTGTCCATATTTATAGTTATAGTGTAAAGAAACCCCAATGCCCTATACAGTAGGGTTTGGGGTTTTGGAGTTGTGGGCTGTCTCTCCTGGGAGTAGGTCCTTTCCATTGTTGTGGTCTTAGGGGCTTAGAAAATTCAGAGTAGAAGCCCAACAGTTGGAAACCTAATAGCCTCAATCCCTAAGAGCAATGTATAGGGAATCCCAGCACCAGTTGTCCTTAATCCGATGTCCAACCTTTTTGGTGGTTACTCTAACCAATGCCACAACAGGAGGCCCTTCTGTTCCTTGGTTATCGGGGATCCTGGCCCCTTAACCCTAAACCCAA